TAAACCCCCAAACCCTAAAACCGAAAACCTAAAATTAGGGGCTTCTGGAGCCCTTGGGGTGCTGGGCTCAGAGGATGGGATCTTCGGGCTTCGTAAGTCAACAGCTTAGTTGCGTTTTGTATGGTTTCGTGGTAGGCTTTATTGTTGTATAGACTATAATATAATATAGTATACTGTACTATAATATAATATACTATAATATACAAAAAATATACTACAATTCAGCAAAAAACTATCATATACTATAATGTACTGTACTATAATATATACAAGGACTGTGAGGGGATCCCCACACAGTGGTCTAAGGCTGGGTTAGCAAAGCAAATCACGAAAGTAAAACTATGTGTTCTATGCGACCGGTCCGGTCGGGTGCTCAACTTCGTGCTTAAGGTTTAGGGTTTGGGTTCAGAGTCAGGGCCTTTGCTCAAGAAGTGCTTAAGCACTTCGTTCTTCAAGGATTCAGGTTGCGGTGTGTTGAACCGCTATGAACCCTATCGAAACCCACGGAAGGAGCATCCCCAACAACCGCAAAACGCCTCAACCCGAGGTTGTTACACTTTGGCACCAAGTCAACCTCCAACAACCCTAAACCCTATAAACCCTAAACCCTAAACCGTGCTCCAACTGTTGCCGCGGGCGTCTGAGGCCGCAGACATCCACCAGTCCGCACCGCGACCTCATCCGTCTGAGTCGGAGTTTTGCTTGTCGAGTTCGGATTTAGGGTTTAGGGTTTAGGGTTTAGGGTTTAGGGCCCCGTGAATCCAACACTTTAAAGCCCAAAACCCTGACCCTCTCACGGCTTAGGCGATCTCGAATACTTTGTGGCTCTCCCTAGACTCTAAACCCTACAGACCCTAAACCCCCAAACCCCTAAACCCTAAACCCTAATCCCTGAAGGATTTCTGAGGAGAGCTTTGGGTGGAGACTTGAGCTTTGGGCTGACTGAGCTTTTGCCGGGAAACTTGTCAGGGCAATAATTTGGGTAGTTCTCTAAACTAGGTAGGGTTTAGGGTTGAGGGTTTAGAGTTTAGGGTTTAGGGTTTAGTTCTCTAAGTTAGGGTTTTCTTGTAGGGTTTTTTTATACGGAATCCGTATTATATCAGGGATCTAAAAAGGGACCCTAAGTTAGAGAACTAGCCATTTAAAAGTCGTGACTGAAGCGCGCTTCAGGCGTTCAGAGGGTTCCACAAGGGTTGCAGAAGGATATGGGGGTTTCCGGAAATAGGGGACCCTAATATAGTACCCTAAATAGTAGGGTCCTTATTGTAAGGACCCCAAAATAAGGTACCCCTAATTTTCGGAAACTCCCATATTCATAAACTTACCTGTCCGATCTCCTAGAGGAGCTACCCGTAAACATCAGTTTTTGTTGGATTGCGCAGGGATTCTCATACCCCGAAAAGGTGAAAGGTAATCTACTCGTTATTTACCACCAAGCAAAGGATTGTTTGCTGGTTTAGTGCGTCCTTCTTCAGCTTTGAGGCTGAAGCCTGCGACATGTGGTTTAGGCTTAGGGGCTTTAGGGTTTACAGGTTTGGGTTAGGCGAAGTTTAGGGTTTAGAGCTCTAGGGTCGCGTCAAGCTGTAGGCTGTTAGGAC